TCACATACCTATAACTACCCATTTGAAAAAAATTATTTTAAACAAATAATAAATTACATAATTCATGGGTTATTCATAATATTTCTTTATTTGATTTTTGTGATCAGCATATAATTTCATATTCATAGACATGTTTAGAACCAAGAAATATTAAACTAATGGAATAAAAACAAGGTCAACCAGTACAGCTATAAAGATCACTTTTCTGTCAATAAAAAGTATTTCTTTCAATAAACATAATCCCATGAGAAAGAAATATTGAAATTCAAAACAAATTGCAACTTATTTGTGCATAGCACTGTTTATACTTTTATATCACAAGTAATAAGAATATATTTAAAAGTGTTTCATTTTGTAAATTTAATATGTATGCACATAAAAAAAGCATTCCTCATTCAAGGTGATGGATATACTGATCACCCCAAAAGTTTCTTGTAATCCTATTATAATTCATTTTCATCCCTCCTTTTTCCTATCCTCAGTCAACCACTAGTCTACTTATGTCACTGTGTTACTTTGCGTTTTCTAATATATATAAAAGGAATCATATAGCATGTACTCTTTTGTATTGCTACTTTTGTTTAATCATTATATGGTTTATCTGTGTTGTGTGTGTCCACTTGACACTATCATGAACCAAAGATCTGACAAGAACAACATAGAGAAGGGAAATTTATTTTGGCTCACAGTTCCAGAGGTTTATCCCATGGTCAGTCAAGTCCATTGTTTTGGGCCCAAGATGAGGTAGAACATCATGGAATAATGATATGGTGAAGGAAACCTCCTCAGCATATGGCATCCAGGAAGCACAGGATGGGGACAGGGCCACAGGTAAGGTGTACCTTTCTTGGGCATATCCCCCCATTACCTGCCTTCTCTAGCCATGGCCAGCCTGCCTACATTACCACCCAGTTAATTCAAACTTTGATGGACTGATTAAATCACAGCTGTCACAATCCAATCATTTTACCACAAACATTCCTGCAATGACACAGGAGATTTTGCAGGACAAAACATAATATTGTGTATCAATAGTTCTTTCTGTTGTATTGCTTAAGTATCCATTGTATGAATATACCACAAGTTATTTGTATATTTACATACTGGCAGACATTTGGGTTTTTATGCTTTTTGGCTATTAAAACTATTACATGTTTCAGACTGGGCATGGTGATACATGCCTATAATCCCAGCAACTCAGGAGACTGAGACAGGAGGATTGCAAGTTTGAGACCAACCTGGAGTAACTTAACAACACCTAGTCCCAATAAAAAATAAAAAGAGCAGAAGATTTAGCTTAGTGGTAGAGCATTCCTGGATTCAATCCTCAGTACTGCTAGATAAATAAATAAACTAATATTGCATATTTCTGAGAAGATTTTTAGTATACCAAATACTATTTAAAATAATTTAAATAACTTATAATTGCTTTGT